AAAATCAGCCGAATCGACTTCGATTTGACCGAGCTCGAGAATTTCAAAGTTTGGTCGGGACGTCCCAAACCAGCGGTTGATTTCCACACAGCGTCGAACGTCGCGCCGCGGTCCGGCGCCTTGCGGGGCCCGCCCGCCGCCGGCGCGTCCGTCTTCCGGCGCGCGCGCGCGAGCGGCGCGGCCGGGTCGAGCGGCGGCGGCGCGCGGCGCCGCGGGCCCGCGTCGAGCGACCGGGACCGCTGCTTCGGCGGCGGCGCGCCGTCGAAGGACGACCCGCGGTCGCCGGCGCTCGGCCGCCGCGACCCGGCGAGCGACGACTCGCCGCTGGGCCCGCTCGGCCGCCGGTCCAGCGCCGGCAGCGCCGAGGGCCGCCGCGGCGGCGCGCCGCCCGGCGGCGCCGCGGCCGCGCGCGACGCGCGGCGGCGGCGCGCGGGCGCCGCGTCGTCGTCGCCGTCGCCGCCGCCGCCGTCGTCGCGGCCGATCTGGTACCGCGCCATGCCCTCGGCGTCGTTCCAGAGGCAGGCGGCGACGCCCTGCTTGAGCACGAAGGCCTCCCACGTCGCGCGGCGCCGCGCGAGGCGCTGGAGCATGTCGAGCGACGCGTCGCCGTCGACGAGCGCGGAGAAGCGCCGGATCGGGCAGACGACGTAGTCGACGTCCGCCGTGGCGACGACGGTGCAGCGCATCGTGAACTGGTCGCGGAGCATCTCCACGAGGCCCAGCACGTCCACGGCGCGGAGCGACGCGACGTCGACCTTGGACGCGGCGCCCGCGGCGTCGACCAGCGGCAGGCTCACGCGGACGGCGCCGCGCGCGACGATGACGATCTCCGCCGGGTCGCCGTGGCGCTTGAGCACCTCGCGGCACGCCGCGCGCTTGAGCCGCGCGTGGCGCATGAGCTTCACCTGGGCAGGACAAGAGTGCGAAATTCCCAACTTCAAAGGCTCCTAGCTCGGCCGATTTCCACTCGTTTCGGCTGACTTTTGGACGAGCGATCATCTCTCGGAGCGGTCTCGAAGCGTGGGTGCTGTTTCCGAAACGCGCGCGCGCGGCACACTCACGTTGAAGCGACGTTGAATCACCCTTGTCCTGCCCTGAGCTTCACGATCTTGTCGTCGCCCCAGGACCGGAACGGCGGCAGGTCGACGACGCGGCGCACGAACGCCAACGTCTCCCGCGAGTGGTTCGCCGACTCGACCTCCTTCTTGTCGAGCGCGCTGCGCTTGAAGCGGAGCACGGCCGTCACCTGGGCAAGGGCGCGAACGTCCCAAAGGCTCCTCGCTCGACCGCTCTCCGCTCGTTTCGGCTGAGTTTGGGACGAGCGATCATCCCTCAGAGCGGTCTCGACGCGCGGATGTTTCTTCTTTCCCGAAGGCGGCACGCGCGCGTCGAAGCGAACTCGAATCACCCGCATCCCGCGCCGGCCGTCGCGGCCTGGAACTCCCACTCGGACGCGAGGCGCGCGAGCGGCACGGCGCCGCAGCCACGCTCCTCGCTGCCCTGGACGCGGCCCGCGACGCGCACCGTGCCCGGGTCCATGACCTCCTCGTTGTAGGTCTCGCGCGGGCCCGCGCTGAACGCCGTCGCGTCCAGACGGACCGCGGCGCCGCCGGACTCCGCGCGGAAGGTCGTCACGTTGCCCTCGAGGACGTAGCAGTGCCAGGCGTCGTGGATGGGGTCGTGGTAGATCGTGTTCTGCGCGAGGCTGAAGCGCTTCTTCTTCGGGTTCGGGTCCGCCGCTTGCAGGCCCTCGAGCCGCGCGGCGAGCTGCGCCGCGCCGAGGCCCTCGGCCTGGATCTGGGACTTGCGGTGGACGTAGCGCCGCGCGCCGGCGCCCGTGCCCCACTCGTCGCCGCCCGCCGGCGCCGGGCCCGCGAGCGACGCGCGGCGGCGGCCGCGGGGGCCCGCCGCCGGCGACGGGTCCGCGGGCGGCCGCTGGGGCGGGCAGGGCGGCTGCGTGAGCTGGCCGGGGCCGTAGACCTTGACCTCGGCGCCGCACTCGACGAGCGTCTCCGCGGCGACGGCGGGCGTCGCGTCGCCGACGACGAGGCCCGGGCACCGGTCGCCGAGGATCGCCGCGACGACGGCGATGCGCGGGCTCCGGCTCTCGCGCCGCCGCTCCTCGCGCCGGTCCTCGACGTCGCTGTCGCTGTCGCTCGACGCCTCGGGCGTCGACTCGTCGCTGTCCGTGAGGTCGCGCGCGTCGCGCAGGGCCCGCGCGAGCTCCGCGACCCAGCCGCTGGGCTCGCGGCGCACCTCGCTGCCCTCGGCCATGGCCGCCTTGACGCCCGAGCTCACGTTCAGCAGCGGCAGCATGGACGTCGTCGTCGCCATGGTCCGCCGACCGTCCCGCGCCGGTCGGCGGGGCGGCCCCAGAACGCGCTCTCCCAGACCAGCCGAAACCGTGGCAGCTTGAAGAGCTGCGCGTTACCGGTAACATCGGCCGATCATCGCCCCCGGCCGCAGGCCGCGGCGCCGGCGGCGTCCGCGGGGCAGCCCGCGTGGGCCGCCACGAGGCGGCGGAGGGTCGCGTCGCCGAGGGCCGCGCGGAGCATGCGGTGGTACGTCACGTTCGCGCGGCTCGCGTCGCCGGCGTCGCGGGGCGCCGCGCGCCGGAAGTAGGTGCCGCCGCGGTTGTTGAAGAAGTGGGCCGCGCGCATTGCGGAGAAGTCGTAGCCCGAGGCCGTCGCGACGCGCGCGAGGCCCGCGGGCGAGTACTGGCCCTTGACGAGCAGGGCCCCCTGGGGCCGGACCTTGAGCGAACAGGGCAGCGAGAAGGCGACGCGCGGCGGCCACGTGATGCTCGCGCAGTTCCAGCACCGGGGCCCCCGGGGCGCGTAGAGCTTGTACCACTCGGCGACGAAGGTCCCCCGCCGCGGGCTCGCGATGAGCGCGTTGATGAGCCCCGCGGGCCGCTCGACGGCGAGCGACGCCGCGCCGTCGGAGAGCCAGTCGTCGAGGCTCTTGAGGGGCAGCACGTCCGTGTCGAAGTAGACGCCGCCGAACTCGAGGAGCGCCTCGAGGCGGATGACGTCGGCCTTGTGCGGGTAGTTCTCCAGCCGGTGGCCGAAGACGGACTCGACGGGCGCGTGCGGCCGCCTGCGCACGAACGCTTCGGGCCGGCCGACGGCCGCGGGCAGGCCGTCGAGGGCGTCCCACCAGTAGCGCCCGCCGGCGACCGCGCCGACGTGGTGGACGTAGACGCCGTCGAGGCCCCAGGCGACGAGCGCGGCCGCGACGTGCGCGTAGTGGCCCCAGGTCCACGCGTCGCCCGCGCCGGTGACGACGTGGCCGAGCCGCGGCGCGCGCGCGCGCGGCGCGGCGCCGCCGCCGCGCTTCGCCGCGGCGCAGCGCGCCGCGGCGTAGGCGTCGTCGGGCACCTCGGCCTTGAGCATGCGCTCGCGCCACTCGACCATGTCGGCCTCGACGGGCGCGGCCTTGGCGGCGAGGCGCCGCGCGAGGCCGAAGGTTGCGTTGGAGAAGCAGGCCGGGTAGCGGCCGAGGGTGCGCGACGCTCCGTCGCATGCGAGGCCCGCGTAGCGCCCGCCGCCGCAGGTCGCGTTCGCGAAGGGCGCGAAGTCGCAGCGCGCGCCCGCGGCCGCGCGGTGCCGCGCGGCGTACGCGTCGCAGGTCCAGCGGCCGAAGCGCCGCGCCTTGAGCGCGCAGCCCGTCCGCGGCGGCGCCGGCCCCGCCGCCGCGGGCGCTGCCGCGGGCGCCGCCGCGGGCGCCGCGACGGCGACGGCGGGCCGCCGGCGCCGCGGCGCCTGGGACAGGACGGCGGCGACGAAGCAGGCGCCGAGGACGGCGAGGCGCACGCCGACGGCGCGCTCCGCGCCCGCGGCGGCGCCGAGCTGGCGCTGCCGCAGGAGCTGCCCCGGCGACACGCCGGGCTTGCGATGCGTCGCCATGCTCTCACACCATGGATGCTGTCTTGAAAGGGCAGCCTGCGATGTTGACGGGCAAGGTTTGCGAAGCTGCCCCCGCAGGACGATGGCCGGCCTCTGAGCAAATCGCTTAGCCATAGCCGGCCTCTGAACGAGCTCACGGCCCAAGGGCAGCGTGACGATGGTGGCGCCGTGGCCCTGGCTGCTGCTGACCCTGCGCTGCGCCGGCGGCAATCCGCGGCCGAAGAAGGACCCCTTCGGCTGCGACGAGCTCCTGCCCGAGTCGTCCGACGCCGTCGCCCTCGTCGTCCGCGGCGAGAGCTTCCGCGGGCTCAACGCCGGCGCCTTCGTGCAGCTCGAGGGCTACGACACGCACGCCCTGCGGAGCGCGATCATCTGCACGGAGAGCTCCTGGGAGATCCAGCGCGCGCTGGCGCGGAACCAGGTCGCGCTCCTCGTCGAGCCCCTCGAGCGCCGCGGCGTCCGCGTCGACGTCTACCTGAGCTCGTACGGCTGCTGGGGCGTGCCCGGCGTCGCCAACGCGACGGCGGCGCGATGGTGGCACGACCTCGAGTCGTGGTACGGCGGGCCGCGGCGCGTGCGGTTCAGCGCGCCCATCGCCAAGGCGCCGGGCCAGACGCAGCGCACGCCCATCGACGTCGGCGTCGGCGCGGCGCTCGCCGCGGGCGCGGCCTACCGGTCCGTCTTCGTCTGGCGCTTCGACCTCGCGCTCCTCGACCCCGTCGCCGCGGCGGACGCGAGCGCGACGCTCGGGAGCGCCGCGCCGACGGACTACCTCGCCACGGACCGCGCGGCGCCGCGCGGGACACGACATTGGTGTCGGCCGCGCGTCGCGACCCGAGCGCGAGCGCTCGCGTCGAACCGTCGCGCGGACGAGCGTCGCGCCGCGCGCAGGCACCGAGGCGACCAAGGTCGGCTTCGACCTCGAGTGGTCCTTCCCCTGGCGCTTCGCCCGGTGCTTCCACGGCGTCCTCGCGGCGACGGGCGAGCGGAGCTGCTGGGACCGCGACAACATGAACCACATCGTCGCGACGCGCTGCTCCGAGGAGTTCCAGGCCAAGGCGCTCGCGCTCGCGCGCAAGTCCGGATCCGACTTCTCCGGCTTCCGGCGGACCTTCGCGTGCGCGCCGCGCGCCGCGCCGCTGCCCAAGTGGCAGAAGGGCGTCATCGAGGCGCGCCAGGGCGGCAGTCGGCTCGCGGCCTGGATGGCCCGCGAGGGCTACGTCTACGACCCGTCGCGGCCCGGCGACGTCCGGGCCTGGCCCTTCATGTGCCCGAACCCGCTGCCCGTGCGGTCCTTCGAGGGCCGCATGGGCTACCGCGAGCTCTGCGAGTTCCAGCGCGACCGCTACGGCGGGCCGGGCTGCGACGCCGAGGTCCGGCTCCGGTCCGAGGTCTGCGACCGCCTCGCGGCGACGCAGCCCCGGGCCATCAACGACGGCCACGTGCGGTCCTTCTTCAGATGCGCGGAGCCCCAGAGCGCGAAAGACGCGGCCTTCGCGGCGCGCGAGGCGATGCGGGGCGCGGCCGCGCCGGCGCCGGCGCCCCGGCCCCGCGACGGCGGCGACGGCCGCGCGGCGACCGGCGGCGGCGACGCCCGCGAGCGCAAACGCCGCGACCCGCTCGACCTCGAGGAGCCGCGGCGCCGCGAGGCGCGCCGCGCGCGGGCCGACGAGGACCCCGCGCGCCGCGACGACCCCGCGGAGCGCAAACGCCGCGGGGACCGGCGCAAGTACGACGAGCTGTCCAAGGACGAGCTCATCCGCCTGCTCCTCGAGGAGGAGGCGGGCGGCGGCGGCGAGGCGGACGCGGCGGCGGCCGCCGAGGCCGAGGCCGCGCGCAAGCGCGCGGCGGCGGAGCACGACGCGGCGCGCGCGCGGCAGCAGGCGGCGTGGCGCGCGACGCCTCCCGGCTGCGCCAGGGCCTTCGTCGGCGCCGTCGCCGAGGCCGACGACGCCGTCGCGCTCGTCATCCGGGGCGAGTCGTTCCGGGGCCTGAACATGAAGATCGAGACGCACAGCGCCGTGCCGACGAACACGCTCCGGCGGAGCGTCGTCTGCACGCCGAGCGCGCACGCGCTCCAGCGGTCCATCACCGCGAACCACGTGCGCCAGCTCATCGAGCCCCTCGAGCGCCGGGGCGTCCGCGTCGACGTCTACGCGGGCTCCTACGGCTGCTGGGGCGTGCCCGGCGTCGACGACGCGACGGCCGCGGCCTGGTGGGACGACATGCGGGCCTGGTACGGCGCGGACCGCGTCCGGTTCTGGGACCCGCTGCCGCGCGCGCCGGGCCAGACGCAGCAGGACCCCATCAACTGGGGCGTCGACGCCGCGCTGCGGAGCGGGCGGGCCTACCGGTCCATGATCGTGTGGCGCTGGGACGTCGCGCTGCTCGCGCCCGTCGCGGCGCCAAAGGCGCCGGACCCGCGCGACGACCACCCGCCGACGGACTACCTCGAGACGGACCGCGACGAGCCGGGCATCGTCAACTTCGACGTGGGCTGGTCCGTGCCCTGGCGCGTCGCCCAGTGCTTCCGGGACGTCGTCGGCGCGACGGGCGACGCGAGTTGCTGGCAGGTCGACGTGCTCAGCACCGTCGGCGGCATGTGCCGCGACCGCCTCAACGAGAACTTCGCGCGGACGGGCGTCGACGTCTTCCGGCGCAACTTCGCCTGCGCGCCCCGCGACGAGCCCGTGCTCAAGTGGATGCACGTCATCATCGAGATGCACCGCGGGGGCACGCGGCTCGCGCGGTGGCAGGACGCGCACGGCTTCCTCTACTCGGGCGGCGTCTTCACGCCGCCCAAGGCCGAGTGGACCCACCTCTGCCCCCAGCCCCTCGTGCTCCGCAAGTTCTCCGACGCCCAGTCCCGGGAGCTCTGCGAGTACCTCCGCGACCACGACGGCGGCATCCCGTGCGACGAGGCGCCCTTCGTCGCCGAGGTCTGCACGCGGCTCCAGACCACGCCGGAGATCCGCCCCGCGCTCGAGGACCCCGCCGTGCGCTCCTCCTTCAAGTGCGAGCTCCCGCCGCCGTAACGGAGGGAAGGCCCAGGGCGTTTGCCAGCGTGCAGCTGTCTCGCGAAAGCTCACGAAAGCAGGGTGTTTGCCAGCGTGCTGCTGTCTCGCGAGCTCACGACCGCTCGCCGCGTTTGCTTTCCTTCAAGGTGCTTCAGTGGTGGAGCCAGGTTGATGATGAGCATGGGCCACCTCCGGTAGCGACAGCTGTAGTGTAACCATCTTTACGCGGCTGCCATCTCTGGTAGCCGGCGCACTGTGACCATCTTCACGCGGCTGCCATCTCTGGTGGCCGGCGCACTGTGACCATCTTCACGCGGCTGCCATCTCTGAGAGCCGGCGCAGTGCGACTTCCAGGCGCCACGATGCGCCGCCTGCGCGTCGTCACGTACAACGTGCAGCGCTGGCACGACTTCGACGCCATTCTGGCGACGCTGGAGCGGCTGAAGCCCGAGGTGCTGGCGCTGAACGAGGTCCATGCCGGCGGCGAGCACGCCGAAGCGCTCGAGACCGCGCGGTCGCGCCTGGCCATGGCGTCGGCGCACTTCTTCGGCCACGCGCTCGACGGCGCCTACGGCAACGCGGTGCTCACGCGCGCCGCGTCGACGGCCGTCGCGCGGCGCCACCTCGCGGGCGGCTCGGTCGTCCGCGGCCGCGGCGGCGCGCCGCGCCGCATCGCGCGCGGCGCGCTCGTCGTCGCGCTCGGCGACCTCCAGATCGTCGCGACGCACCTCGACCACATGGCCGAGGCCGAGCGCGCGACGCAGGTCGCGGACCTCCTCGCCGGCCTCGGCGCGACGGCGGGCGCGACGCTGCTCTGCGGCGACCTCAACGCGCTGCGGCGCCGCGACTACGGCGCCGGCGCCTGGGCGGCGCTCGAGGCCGAGCACGCGCGCAACGGCTGGCGCGGGCCCGACGACAGCGACGCGCCGGGCGGCGCCGTCGCGGCGCTCGAGGCCGCGGGGTTCGGGGACCTCGGCGCGAGCGACGCGGCGCCGACGTCGCCGGCGGCGGCCCCGGCGCGGCGCATCGACTACGTCTTCGCCGGCGCGGAGCTCGGCGCGCGGGCGGCCGCGACGGTCGACGCGACCGCCGCCGGCTCGGACCACCTCCCCGCGATCTTCGACGTCGAGCTTCCGAACTAAAAACAGGGACGGGGGCTCACTTCGCGGCGGCGAGCTCGAGGGGCACGTCGAAGACGAGGAGGGGCGTCGTGCCCTCGGCGGCGTTGAAGTGGGGCGCGATGGCCGGGACCCACTCCTTGATGTGCGCGTCGGAGTGGAGGTACGTTTTGAGCGACGCGGAGTCGCGCGCGGCGACGGTGAGGCAGTAGGTGTAGCCGCCGGCCTTGTCGGGCCAGTCGACGGCCTGGAGGAAGTCGTTCCCCAGGAACTTCTCGACGGAGGCCGCGATGCCGTCGATGGCGTTGAACTTGTCGACGACGGCGGCCATGGCCGCCTCGTCGACGGTGTCCGCGAGTTTGAAGAGCACGGGATGGAGCAGCTCGGCCGTCGACGGGTCGAGGTCGAGCGCGAGCTTGCTGTCGAAGACGACGATGCCCTTGATGTGGGGCTTGACGGCGGCCATCCAGTCCACGAGGTGGAGGTCCGAGTGGAGGTAGGCCTTGAGGGAGGCGACGTCGTCGGCGACGACGAGCAGGCAGTGCGTGAAGCCGTCGGTCTTGTCCGGCCAGTCGAGAAATGCGAGCTGCGCCGCCTTCTCCAGGGTCGTCGTGCCATGCGACGCGAAGGACGCGGACACGCCGGGCAGGGCGTCGAACTTGGCCACGACGGCGGCCATGGCGACCTCGGCGTCGCTTCCCCGGACGAGCTCCGGGAACTTGAAGAAGACCGTGTGCTGGATCTTGCCGCCGACGGCGTAGCCGCCGCCGAACATGTTGCCCATGAGACACGCGGCGACGACGGCGGACGACGCTGCCCACCACCACGGCGCGATGGTGGATGGCTTCGCGCGAAGTTGGTTGAGGTCAACGCGACATTCAACGAGGCTCGCGAGGAGCGCCTCCGCGAGCACCAAGTCCGCCGCCTCCCGTGTGACGCCCCCCCGACGACGCCGCCATGGCCTCGGCCTCGAACACGACGAACATGTCGGCGCGGGACCGGGCGAAGGAGCGCGAGCTCGCCGAGGCGCGGCAGAACGGCCAGGCGGCGCCCGAGGTCGACGTGAACAGCGGGGCCATGATCAACCCGCACAACCCCGACTTCATCACGAAGCGGCCCTGGTACCTCGGCGACAGCGGGCCGTCGCTCCAGCACCACGACACGCGGGGCGCGGCGACGGCGTCGGAGGTGTCCATGGCCGAGGCCGACGCGCACCTGCGGCGGCGCCGCGGCGCGTGGGACGCGCGCGTGGGCGGCGGCGCCGTCGCCGTCGTCGAGGTCGGCGCGTGGATCGAGGCGCTGTACCGGGGCAAGACGCCCTGGCTCCCCGCGCGCGTCGCGAAGGTGCGCCTCGACGGGAGCCTCGACCTCGAGTTCGAGAACGGGCGGACGTCGCAGAAGGTGCCGCGCGCGCACGCGAAGCTCCCCAAGGCCGGCGCCGGCGCGCGCGCGGGCCTGGAGAGCCTGGGCAAGGTCGCCTACGACGCGAAGCGCGACCGCTGGCACGGCTACGACCCGTCCATGCACAAGGAGACGGAGGACCGCTACGCGGAATTGGACGCCGCGCGCGCGCGGCGCAAGGACAAGCGCCAGGACGCGCGGTCCAAGGAGGCGCGCGCCGCCGCCAAGGCCGAGCGCAAGCAGGCGAAGGCGGCGCAGAAGGCCGCCGGCGGCGGCGACGACGACGACGACAGCGACAGCGACAGCGACAGCGACGACAGCGACGACGAGGGCGACGACGAGTTCCGCCTCGACGACGCCGAGGCGGGCGACTTCCAGAAGCGCATCGCGCGCCAGGGCGGCGTCGGCGGCGCGCAGATGAAGACGACGGTGCGCAACCTACGCATCCGCGAGGACACGGCCAAGTACCTGCGGAACCTGGACCCGGATTGCGCGTTCTACGACCCGAAAACGCGCGCGATGCGCGAGAACCCGACGCCCAACGTGGACCCCAAGGATTTCGTCTACGCCGGCGACAACTTCGCGCGCGCGACGGGCGACGCGTTGGAGCTCGCGGCGACGCACTGCTTCGCCTGGGACGTGGAGCGCAAGGGCGCGTCCCGCGGCGGCGACGCGCTCCACGTGCAGGCCGACCCGTCGCGCGCGGAGCTCGAGAAAAAAAAGTTCGAGGCGAAGAAGGCGGCCCTGGACCGGGAGAAGCAGCAGGCCATCCTCGACAAGTACGGCGCCCAGGACGTCGACGAGGACGCCGCGGAGCGGCAGCTGCGCGCCGCGGGCGCCGCGTCGGAGGCGTACCGCGAGTTCGACGCGCGGGGCAACGTCACGCGGGGCGCGCCCCTCCAGAAGCGCGCGTCCAAGTACGCCGAGGACGTCTTCGACACGAACCACACCGCCGTCTGGGGCTCCTACTTCTGCCCGCGGACGTTCAAGTGGGGCTACGCGGACGACCACTCGACGACGAAGAATTCCTACTCGACGGGCGCCGCGGGCCGCGCGGCCAACGACGCCGCGCGGGCCCGCAGCGACGCGGCCCTCGCCGCGCCGCGGCCGAGCCTCGGCGAGGCCGCCGCGGCGACCGCGGCGCCCGGCGCCGCGCGCGCGGAGCCGCCGCCGAGCCGCGCCGCGCTCTACGGCGCGCCGGACAAGGACGTCGTCCTCGACGAGGCCAAGGTCCAAGCGGCCATGGCCCGGGCCCGCGCGGCGCCAAACGACGCCGCCGACGACGCCAACGACAAGAAGCGCAAGTACAACAGCTTCGCGACGACGGACGTCACCGCCGAGGACATGGAGGCCTACCGCCGCACGCGCGTCGCCGCGGACGACCCCATGGCCACGTTCCTCGGCGGCGAGGGCGCGTAAGTGGTGTTACAGGGACCCGCCGTTGCGCTTCGCGGCGGCCGCGGCGAGGAGCCTGAGCGCGCGCGCGCACGCGGGGTTGTCCGGCTCGTGGTCGCGGCACCAGGCGTTGACGACCTCGACGAGCGTGTCGCCCTCGCGGAGCACGATGGGCACGGTCTCGCCGCGGTAGGAGAGCGTGACGACGTTCTCGACGCGCTTCGTCTCCGCGTTTTTGACGTACGCGGGCTCCGGGGCCGGCTCCCGCGCGGCGGGCGCCTGCCGCTGCGGCGGCGCTTTTTTATGGTCGTCGAAGTCGAAGAACTCGCGCGTCTTCGCGACGGCGTCCTCGTAGCCCCTGCGGCACGCGTCCCAGTTTTCCCGGTCCGTGCACGGCCGGCCCATCGCGTCGTAGACTCGGTCCAGCGCCGGCCCGGGGTGGCTTTCGCCGCGCCCGCCGAACTTGGCGAGGCACGTCTCCTCGCACTCGTCCTGGAGACCCCGGTTGAAGGCCGCGAGGCAGGCGTTGGACGCCGCGGCCCGCGCCTCGCGGGCGACGGTGCGCCCGAGCTTGCGGCACGTGTCCGGACTGAGCTGCCGGTGGACCTGCTTGCACTCGACCTTGCAGTCGCCGCGCGCCGCCGACAGGGACGCCGCGCCGCCCGCCGACGCGACGGCGGCGCAGGCGGCGACGACGACGAAGAGCCGCCCCATCGTGCCGCTGGATGATGGATACCGCGCTAACGGTGAATGAACGGTGCCGAGCGAGAAGGCTGCCCGATTGGCCAAGCTCTCCGAGGAATTATGCTCCGCGCATTGCTCCTCCTCGCCGCCGCCGCCCCGACGGGCGCGGCGCCCGTGCAGCTCACGGGCTACATGTCGTCGCTGTGAGGCAACTGCCGCGCCGCCGCCCTCGCGCTCGGGGACGGCGTCGTGGACAAGGAGGGGGTCGGCGCCATCGTGAACATCACGATCCACTTAATCGGGACCTGGAACGGCACCGGCGCCTGCGACGGCACGGGCATGCACCACGGCGAGGCCGAGTGCTTCAACGACGCCTACAAGCTCGCGGCCGACGCCGTCGACGCGTCGAAGTCCTTCGCGTTCACGCGGTGCATGTTCGAGCGCATGGGCGAGCTCTGCCCGGCGTCCTGGACGGGCAAGGAGTGCGCCAAGGACGCCTACAACGCGACGTCCTTCCAGCCGGCGGCCGAGGCCTGCGAGGCCGAGGCCGGCTACGAGGCCGGCACGCTCGCGAAGCTCGCGCTCGGCGACGGCGGCGGCGTCTCCTCCTGGGCCGCGTCAGGCATCGCCGCCGATCTCGCATACTCGGCGAAGGCCGACCCCGGCGGCACGATCCCGCCGCCGGAGGGGGGACCCGCTCCGGCGTGGATCGTCGTCGGGGATTCCTTCGTCAGCGACCGCGACTCCGACGACGAGGCCGCCTGGGCCGCCAAGGTCCTCGCCGCGGTCTGCGACGCCTACGACGGCGCGGAGAAGCCCGCGGGCTGCCCGTCGCTCTGAGCGAAGACAAGTCGGCGCGCGTTCTCGCGCGCGCGCGCGTCGCCGCACATGACGGCGCCGTTTGGCTCCCGCGGGGGACCGGCCGGCGCCCGACCCCGGCACGCGCGCGCTTTTTGGCGAGAGTGCGCGTCGCTAACGCTCAAGACGACGCTGGCGGCGCGCGCGGCGCGACGGCACCCGGGTGCGCGGCTGGTGATGCACCTGGTGATGCAGTGCAGCCGAAGCGGCGTCGCCACCACCAAAAGTCGTCTTGCTTCGTCGTCCGCGCGCCGTCGCGCCCGCCACCATGGGGGACGACGACGGGCAGGCCGTGTTCTGGCGCGAGTTCATGAAGACGGACGAGGCCCAGGACGCTTTGAAGATGCAGTACCGCGAGGAGTACGACGAGCTCGCCGACGAGTACGAGAGCAAGGTCAAGCCCCAGGAGCTGCGCGAGCTCGCCGAGGCGCTGCTGGACTGCAGTCGCGAGATCAAGCACATCGTCGCGCCCCTGCTCAAGTACGACTTCTGCCAGCGCATCCTCTACAACATCTTGCAGGACTGCACGCGGGGCACGAACGAGGACGGGTCGTTCCGCGAGAAGCGGAACTTCAGCGAGCACCTCATGACGCACCACGTGCGCTACCAGATGGAGAAGCTCGCCGAGGAGGTGCGGGCGAACCCCACGTACGGCAAGGCCGTCAACGACCAGTGGTGGGCGGGCATCTGCTCGAAGATGGCCGAGGACAACAAGCGCGACATGTTCGACCACCCGCGCTACATCGACGTCCACGGCCTCTGCTCCATGATGAACCAGGGCGGCCTGTGTCTGGACATGGGCAAGACCAAGTGGAAGGAGCGGAACTACGAGCTGGCGCTGGACCGCTACACGATGGGCGTCGACATGCTCCAGAACCTCCGGTGCCGCGGCGCCGAGAACGAGGAGCTGCTGAGCGGCGTCACCTGCCGCCTGCTGCGGAACCAGGCGGCCTGCGCTTTGAAGCTGGAGCTCTGGGGCTTGTGCACGCGCGCCTGCGACAAGGTGCTCCACTTCAAGCCCCGCGATTTTAAGGCGCTCTACCGCAAGGGCGTCGCGGCGACGAAGACCGGCGACTTCGACGGCGCCGAGTCCTGCTTCAAGAAGGTCACGGAGCTCGTGCCCGACTCCTACGAGGAGGCTTATGTGTACGCCCAGGCGAAGAAGGACGCGGAGAAGCAGCTCGCGGGCATCGCGCGCCGCAAGGCCGCGTCGAACGCGTTCGGGCGGACGATGGTGAAGCGGGGCTTCCTCGAGCGCGAGGGCCTTTTTAGTGATGACCGCCACAAGGACGAGGCCGACAAGCACACGCCCATGGACGAGGGCCTGCGCCACCACATCGCCGAGCGGCTCCGGGAGCAGAAGAAGTACGACGACGAGCGCCGCGCGGCGGCCGTGGACCTGCCGGACCCCTGCGTCGACGACGACCTGCCGACGCTGGACCTGGACCGCTGCATCGCGCTCCAGGAGGACGTCAAGGCGCTCTACCGCACGCCGGCCTTCATGAAGGCGCTCGGCGACCTCCAGGAGAAGTGCGGCTCGTCGTCGAACAAGTTCCTCGACGAGCTCGAGACCTTTGCCGACGACCAGAAGGCCGACGTGCTCGAGAAGTACGGCTTCACGGGCTGGGCCGGCGCGCGCGCCGCCGAGCGCGCCATCGCGAACAAGCTCGACGACCCCGTCGTCCGCGCGAACGCGAAGGAGCTCTTCGAGATGGTCACGGAGGGCTACGACTTCAAGGGGCCGCCGCCGTCGTCGCGGGGCTAGGCGCGCGCGGCGATTTCTTCTACTTATATGGGGTCTATGTTCGTCGTGCTTCGGCGAAGCTTTCGCCACGCCCGTTGTTCCCGGGAAACACTTTGTAGCAGTGGCACTTGGCCTCGGCCGTCGAGTCGAGGCCCCCGGGCCCGCACGGGTCCTTCATGAAGCACGCGAGCGTGCCCCGCTCGTGGTCGACGATCATGAGGCGGCCCGAGACCTTGCCGTTGGACTCGCGCAGCACCCACGTCTGGTCCTGGCGCTCCCACGTGTGGAGGCAGTAGGGCAGCGGGATCCCGAGGAGGCACGGGAACGCGCAGACGACGTCGTCGGAGCACAGCCCGCCGTAGAAGCAGATGCCGCAGCTTGCCGCGTGGGGCAGGCAAAAGGGGTGGCACACGTGGCAGCCGTCGAAGCCCTTCGCCGACGCCTGCGCCTTGCTCAGCGTCTTCGCGTAGATCGCGGCCTTCGACTCGGTCACGGGCTTCTTCCTCGTCCGCGCGGCGCCGTGGACGTCCTCGCGGATCTTCGCGGCGTCGAGGTGGCCCAACACGTACAGGCTCTGGCCGAGGGGCGAGATGGAGCCGCCGTTGATCTGCCACTCCTTGCCGCCGCCGCCCTTGTAGGCCTTGAAGCCCGAGCCGCGCGTCGCGGTCATGCGCTGCGCCTCGTTGTGGCCGACGAAGTTCACGTCCGTGCCCGGCCCCGGCGCGCCCAGCGCCAACTCGAGCACCATGTCCGACTTGTCGAGGATGATGAAGGGCTCCTTGTACTTGACGTTCGCGGCCGCGTCCGCGGCCACCGTCCCCGTTAAAACGTAGCGCCAGGGCCCGGCGATGTGCTCCTTGCCCTTGCGGCCGACGCCCCCGGCGTGCGACGACAGCGTCAGGGGCTTGATGAAGCCCGCGGCGATGGACGACGCGTGCTCGAAGATGAAGTGGTTCTCGCCGCCGCGCCGCACGAGGCAGAGCTGGACGTCCAGGAGCCCTTCCGGCAGCGGCTGCGCGACGACGATCGTTCCCGCGACGTCCAGGAGCGCGCCGTCGCTCTCGACGGGCGAGACCTTCATGCTTTCCTGATCAGGAGCGCCATCCCTCGGCCGGAATGGTTGGTGGTTTCTCGCTTCGCTAAGAGGCCGATATATTTCCTTCACCATCCACCTCGTGGGCAGCCTCGGCACAGTTATGGTTGCTTGCTAGCCCCATGGACTCGCTCCTCTGCGGCTGGGCGTCCGAGGGCGTCGGCGAGGCCGTCGGCCGGCCCGTGGACCCGTGCTGGGACGACAAGGGCAACGACGTCGACGCCGGCCCGCAGCGCGTCGAACCCGACGAGGCGCCGACCGTCGTCGTCGAGGAGTCGGACGTCGCGGCGCTGGCCGAGGAGATGCGCAAGCTCAGCGAGGACGCCATCGCCATGAAGGAGCAGATGCGGCTCCTCGAGCTCGAGCGCCTCGAGGCGCACCTCGAGGCCGAGCGCGCCGCGCGCGCCGAAGACGCGGCGGCGATGGACGAGGACGAGCCGGCCGCGCCGGCGACGGTGACGGGCGCGCTCGCCCCGCCGGCGCCGGAGGACGACGAGGCGGCGGACGCGCCGCCGGCCGCGTACGCGCCCGCGGAGTACTCGCCGGCCGCGGCCGAGCCGCGCCCGGCGGACGACTCCGCGCCGCCCCCGGCGGCGGACTTCTCCACGCCGGCGGCGTACGCGCCGCCCCCGGCGGACTTCACGCCGGCGGCGGCGAAGACCGTGCCCGCGGCGTACACGCCGGCCGCCGCGACGCCGTTCCCGCCGCGGGCGACGACGTCGCCGCCGCGGCCGCGGTCGTCGTCGCCGGAGCGCGTGCCCTTCGCCGGCATGGGCGCGACGCCGAGCTCGCCGCGGCGGCGGAGCGCTGGCCGGTCCCCGAAGCCGTCGCCCGCGCGGCGGCGGCGCCGGGCCGAGGCCGCGGGGCCCGAGGCCTGCGCGCTCCGCGTCGTCGAGCTCGCGTTCCGCCGCTACGCCGCCGAGGGCCGCCTCGGGCGCAAGGAGTGGGCCCGGCTCTGCCGCGACGCGGGGCTCGCCGAGCCGCGGCGCGTCGACGACGCGCGGCGCGTCGACGCGGCCTTCGACGCCGCGCGGCGCGCGGCGGTGCTCGCGGCGGCGGCCGCGCCGCCGCGGTCCGCGGGCGAGCGCGCGCCCCTGCGGTCGCCGCCGCGGCGCGGCGCGTCGACGGCGCTGGGCCTCGGCCAGTGCGCCGTCGCCCTCGAGTACCTCGTCTGGGCCGCGGCGGGCGCGAGCGCTCCGCCGCCGAAGGTCGAGGCCGCGGCCGGGCTCGCGCCCGCGTGGCTGCCCGCGTGGCTCAGCTCGCCGCCCGCGGGCCGGCTGCGGGCCCTGGCGGCGGCGGAGCTCGTGGACTTTGGCGACGCGGCGCGCTACCTCGCGCTCGCGCCCGCCGACGACCCGCTGGCGGCCGTCGTCGACGCGACGCGGCGGAACACGCTCGCGGCCGAGTGCGAGCTGCTGGCGACGCCCGAGGCCGTCGACCTCCTCGAACGCAACGGCCGCCCCTTTTCCATCCTCTTCGAGCGCTACGCGGACGCGGACCGGCTCGCGGCGCGCGGCCTCGGCGCGTTCCTGGACGACTGGTGGCTCGCGCCCGCGCTCCTGCCCCGGGCCAAGGTGTTGGACGTCGCCCTGCAGATGGAGGCCCGCGACGGCGCCCCGGGCCTCGGGCGGCTCCAGTTCGTCGAGCTCCTGGGCCACGTGGGCCTCCGCGCGATGCCCGGCGACACGCCGAAGCGGCGGCTCCTCGAGCTCGTCGCCTGGCTCGACAAGTCCAAGGGCCGCGCGGCCCTGGGCCACCCGCACCGCGCGACGCTGGCCTTCGCGTTCCACTAAGGTGACAGGGCTTGGGTGTTTTAGTCCGAATCGACCCGGAGCGGCGCGCCGTGTCGGCGCGCCGCGGCGCGAGGCGGAGCCTAGTTCTCCGCGACGGCGACGTCGCCGGGCGCGACGGGCGGCGCGTCGACGCCGATGTCGGGGAAGAGCGCGCGGCAGGCCGGGACCATGTCGTCGTTCGCCGGGCCGCTGCCCTTGGAGACCGCGTTCTTGCCGACCCACTTGTCGCCGTCGCGGTAGACGACGAAGGTCGTGACGCCCGTGTGCGTGCCCTTCTCCTCGACCTTCATGTGGCAGACGGGCAGGATCGTCTCGCCCGCGACGGCCTTGAACATGAGCTTGACGTCGGCGTAGTCGTCCATGACGCAGTCGTTCCAGATGTAGATGCACATGACGATGGCCTGGACGTCGTCGCCGAGGTCGCCGAGCTTGAGGCTCACGTACTCCGAGCCGCCCTCGGCGCCGTAGGTGTCGCCGAGGTACTTGAGCGCGCCGTCGGGCGTCTCGTTGACCTCGTACGACGCGGACCCGAGCTTCTCGCCCTTCTTGTTGAACTCGATGGCGCAGAACTGGGCGTCGACGGTCTTGCCCTCGACGCACATGTACTTGACGCCCACGTGGCACTCGCCGCCCTTCGTCGCGAGGTCGGGGATGTCGAAGGTCTTGCCGAAGCCAATGGGGATGCCGTCGGCGGCCTTCTCCTTGGCGGCGTCGAGCGCGTCGCCGCCGCCGGCGGCGCGCACGCCGTCCTCGGCCTGCTTCTGCGCGGCCATGCAGGCATCTTGTGCGGATTGACACAGGCCCATGTCGGTGTTATAACTGTGCTTGCGGCGGATCTGCGATTCTGTCGCCGACGCGGCAAAATTTCGGGTGCTGAAGTTAGCATTGCGCACGTGCATCACGGCGCGAACTTAGAAGTGAAGTTCGGAACAAGCAGCTGCTGAATTGGGCAAGTTCGGTCAAACACGGGCCGGAGCCTGGCAGCCACCCGTCTTCGGGCCGAGCGAATGGGCAGCCCCCTGCAACTTTGCGGCGCAAGGCTAGGGGTGAGGGGATCTTTGCTCGACTCGATTTCCCGGTCATCAGAGCGACAGTGCGGAGAACCTCGAAGTGTTATCCTACGCCGATCATCGCCCGCCCCCCACGCCCCCCCACAGCGACGGCCGGTCGCCCGCGACGCACCTCGCACCCCACGCTCCCACACTCACCTCGCGCACCCGCTCCAAGCATCCCCATGGCGGCGCTGGCGAAGCCCGCGCCCGCGGGCGCGTGGCCCGTGGCCGAGGCCGCGGGCGCCGCCGCCGTCGCGGACCTGCCGAAGCTGACGGCCAAGTACGCCGAGGAGCTGTCCTGGAAGCGCCACAACAAGTTCGCCTGCAACTTCTGGCTCTCCTCGGAGGCGCGGCTCGTCGAGTCGGCTGTGATCAAGACGGCGTACGACGCCATGTGGCAGACGGTCTTCCAGGCCAAGCTCGACGCCGGGGGCTGGGCCGCCGCCGCCGGCGAGGCCCAGCGCGTCGTCTACTGCCAGGCGCGCACGGAGACCTGCAACCTCGTCGCGGGGCCCGAGCTCATGTGGAGCCCGTCGTTCGTCAAGACGCGCGGCGCCGCGGAGGCCCGCTTCGGCGCGGCCCTGGCGGTCATGCGCCGCCGCATGGAGCTCGCGCGCCTCGTCGCCTACAACAAGCGCGCCACGCAGAAAGTTGGGGCCAAGATCGCGGCGTTCGTCGGCCTCGTCTACGAGGCCGGCGACGACGTCGACTGCGCGAAGATGGACGGCATGGCCCTCGACGACGACGTCGAGGACGACGCCATGATCTGCGGCTGACGCGCGGCCCGGCATCGGCGCACCCCATGGTCACTGAAAGCGCTTCGACATCCCATGGTCACTGTGCCCCGCGCGCCGCCCGCGGCGCGCGCCCCCAGCTCCCTGTACCTAACATCGCTCTTGCTCGAAAATTCACTACGGCGCGACGCGCGCCCACAGGTCGAAGCGCCGGTTCTCGGCGACGCCGTCCGCGCGCAGCTTCGCGAGGTGCGCGAGGACGTTGTGCTGCGCGGCGAAGGTCAGGTAGGGCGGCAGCTTCGGGTAGATGGCGAGGACGATCTCCAGCGACGTGCGGCCGGCGTCGTCGAGCGCGGCGCGGACCTGGCCCTCGCGCGCGCCGCGGTGGTCGACGTACTCCCGGATCTTCGCCGCCGGGTCCGCGCTCGGCGGGCCGTGGCCTGTGTGGAAATCAAATCTTCAACCCGACTTCAATGTGAGCGTATTCGAAAGTTTAGACACAAGCTCTTCGGCTCTGCTTCGAGAACTCGACGAGAGCAATCGATTCGTCCAAAAATTAGCCGAATCGACTTCGATTTGACCGAGCTAGAGAATTCTGAAGTTTGGTCAGGACCATCCAAACCAGTGGTTGAATTCCACACAGGCCGTGGCCCGGGTAGAGCGCGACGAGCTTCTCGCCCTCCGCGAGCCGCAGCATGTCGTTGAGCGTGCGCATGTAGGTCGCGAGGTCCTCGAACCAGGACGAGCCCGCGCCGAGCACGTTGTCGCCCGAGAAGATGGCCCGCTCCTCCTCCAACAGGAAGCACGCGTGGTCCTCTCGAGCGCATCGCCGCCGCCGGCGGCGCGCACGCCGTCCTCGGCCTGCTTCTGCGCGGCCATGCAGGCATCTTGTGCGGATTGACACAGGCCCATGTCGGTGTTATAACTGTGCTTGCGGCGGATCTGCGATTCTGTCGCCGACGCGGCCACGATAGAATGCCGCAGGCAAAATTTCGGGTAGGTGCTGAAGTTAGCATTGCGCACGTGCATCACGGCGTGAACTTAGAAGTGAAGTTCGGAACAAGCAGCTGCTGCTTCGGGTCGAGTCAGCGGAATTGGGCAAGTTCGGTCAAACACGGGCCGGAGGCTGGCAGCCACCCGTCTTTGGGCCGAGCGAATGGGCAGCCCCCTGCAACTTTGCGGCGCAAGGCTAGGGGTGAGGGGATCTTTGCTCGACTCGATTCCCGGTCATCAGAGCGACAGTGCGGAGAACACTCGAAGTTTATCCTACGCCGATCATCGCCCGCCCCCCACGCCCCCCCACAGCGACGGCCGGTCGCCCGCGACGCACCTCGCACCCCACGCTCCCACACTCACCTCGCGCACCCGCTCCAAGCATCCCCATGGCGGCGCTGGCGAAGCCCGCGCCCGCGGGCGCGTGGCCCGTGGCCGAGGCCGCGGGCGCCGCCGCCGTCGCGGACCTGCCGAAGCTGACGGCCAAGTACGCCGAGGAGCTGTCCTGGAAGCGCCACAACAAGTTCGCCTGCAACTTCTGGCTCTCCTCGGAGGCGCGGCTCGTCGAGTCGGCTGTGATCAAGACGGCGTACGACGCCATGTGGCAGACGGTCTTCCAGGCCAAGCTCGACGCCGGGGGCTGGGCCGCCGCCGCCGGCGAGGCCCAGCGCGTCGTCTACTGCCAGGCGCGCACGGAGACCTGCAACCTCGTCGCGGGGCCCGAGCTCATGTGGAGCCCGTCGTTCGTCAAGACGCGCGGCGCCGCGGAGGCCCGCTTCGGCGCGGCCCTGGCGGTCATGCGCCGCCGCATGGAGCTCGCGCGCCTCGTCGCCTACAACAAGCGCGCCACGCAGAAAGTTGGGGCCAAGATCGCGGCGTTCGTCGGCCTCGTCTACGAGGCCGGCGACGACGTCGACTGCGCGAAGATGGACGGCATGGCCCTCGACGACGACGTCGAGGACGACGCCATGATCTGCGTCTGACGCGCGGCCCGGCATCGGCGCACCCCATGGTCACTGAAAGCGCTTCGACATCCCATGGTCACTGCGCCCCGCGCGCCGCCCGCGGCGCGCGCCCCCAGCTCCCTGTACCTAACATCGCTCTCGCTCGAAAAATTCACTACGGCGCGACGCGCGCCCACAGGTCGAAGCGCCGGTTCTCGGCGACGCCGTCCGCGCGCAGCTTCGCGAGGTGCGCGAGGACGTTGTGCTGCGCGGCGAAGGTCAGGTAGGGCGGCAGCTTCGGGTAGATGGCGAGGACGATCTCCAGCGACGTGCGGCCGGCGTCGTCGAGCGCGGCGCGGACCTGGCCCTCGCGCGCGCCGCGGTGGTCGACGTACTCCCGGATCTTCGCCGCCGGGTCCGCGCTCGGCGGGCCGTGGCCCGGGTAGAGCGCGACGAGCTTCTCGCCCTCCGCGAGCCGCAGCATGTCGTTGAGCGTGCGCATGTAGGTCGCGAGGTCCTCGAACCAGGACGAGCCCGCGCCGAGCACGTTGTCGCCCGAGAAGATGGCCCGCTCCTCCTCGAGCAGGAAGCACGCGTGGTCCTCGCAGTGGCCCGGCGTGTGCCAGACGCGCAGCGTCGTCTCGTCGTCGACGACGATGCGCTCGCCGTCGACGAGCGCGCCGTCGTAGCCCTCGTCGACGCCGGGCGGCGCGTTGTAGCGGCCCGGGTCGAACTTGAACTCGCGCTTCGCGAGCTTCCGCACCGTGACGCCCGGCAGCATGTCCCGGATCTGCGCGATGCCGCCCGTGTGGTCGAAGTGGCGGTGCGTGATGACGACGCGGTCCACGGTGCAGTCGAGCGCGCGCAGCGCGGCGGCGAGCGCGGGGCCGAACGCGGGCCGGCCCTCGCCCGCGTCGACGAGCACGCGCCGCGGCCCGCAGCCGACGACGTAGCAGTTCGTGCCCTGGAGCGTGAACGCGCCCGGGTTCCGCCCGAGGACGCGCGACACGCGCCGCGAGTGCGTCTCGAACGCCGCGAGCGGCGCGAGGCCCCGCGGGAGCGCGTCGTCCGCGTGCTCGCGGAGCACGCGCCGCTTCAGCGCCGGCGGCAGCGCCTTGTTCAGCGCCGGCATGATGTTCTTCGCCCAGCTGAACACGCGGCGGCTCTTGACCATGGCCACGGACAGCGGCTCGTGCCAGAAGAGCGCGAGGAGCTGGCGCCGCAGCATCGGTGGAGGCGCTGGCGGCGCGGTTGGCTCTGCTCGGCAGGCGCTGGCGGCGTGCGGTCTGCTCAGCAGGCGCTGGCAGCGCGGGTGGGCTGCGGCGACGCGCTACGTCTTCGACCACGACAGACCGAGGACCATACGACCGAGGCCATCGGAGCAGGTTTCCGACTTTGGCGGGGGGTCGACGACTTTGCGTCGCCCGGGGACGCCATCGGCGTCGATTTGCCCCCGGTTTTGCCGACTCGCTCGCTCGACCAGGCCGTCTTCCCTGGCTTACAGTGACGCATGATCTAAAACAACCCTCAGAACGACAAGCTACGCGTCGCTGAACATCGTACATTTCACCCGGCCCGGGGGGGGACTCGGCCATTGGTGCGCGTCCTGAAGTCGTGCCGTTTGAGACAGGCAGTGCTGCGCGCCATTGTCGTTGGCGTCGCGCGCGAGCGCGAGCGCACGCCGTGGAACGACACGGGGCTTTGAAACGACCACCCAGGAGGTGCCCGACGACCCCTCGACGCGGGGACGCGAAGCGACGACGATGGAGCGCACCGCGGCCCTCGAGTCGTGGGTGAAGACGCTCGCGGTCGACAAGAGCGTGCGCGGGATGAAGACGGAGGGCGTCCTCGCGTCCGGCGGCGCGCCCGCGGCCGCGCTGATCGCGCGCGTGGCGCGGGCCATCGTCGAGGAGGACGGGGGCCACGCGTCGCCGAAGGCGTGCGCGGCGGGCGACGAGTGGGGCCAGGCGCGGTCGCTCGCGCGCAAGTTCAGCGAGGCCGCCTACGAGCGGTGGCCGGCGAGCAAGTCGCCGAGCGGCGCCGAGGCGTCGGCGGCCGTCGAGATCCTGCTCTACTGCGCCGCGTGCTGCGACAAGTCGTCGAAGCGCGGCGCGTACATCCAGCGGATCCTCCGGCTCCCGCAGCAGCAGCAGCAGCAGCTCATGGGCGCCATGAAGGCGCAGATGGCCGCGGAGCGCGAGGCGCAGTCCGCGGGCAAGAGCCCGCCGCGCAAGTCGCCCGCGCGCGCGAAGGCGTCGCCGCGGGAGCGGACGCCGAAGCGGCTCTTCTCGACGCAGCGGTCGCCGGCGGGCGCCGCGGAGGCGACCAAGGCCCTCGAGGCGCAGCTCGAGGCCGAGCGCGAGGCCGCGGCCGCCGCGCGCGCCGAGGCCAAGGCCCACGCGGAGGACGTCGCGGAGCTGCGCGCGCGGCTCGCGCGCCACGAGGCGGACCGCGACGCGGAGCGCGAGCGCGCGCTCGCGGCGGAGATGAAGGTCGTCGACTACGAGCGCGGCGCGGCGGCCGGGGACGCCGCGTCCGCGGCGGCGGCGCGCGGCGAGGCCGCGGCCCTCGAGAAGCGCGCCGCGCGCGCGGAGGCGCGCGCGGAGACCGCGGAGGCGCGCCTCCGCGAGTGCGACGACGAGCTCGACGTGCTCCGGCCGCTCCGCGAGCGCGCGGACGGCGCGGAGCGCCAGCTCGCGGCGACGCGCGACAAGCTCGAGAAGAGCGGCGACCTGCGCCAGCAGCTCCGGCGCGCGGAGGCGGACTGCGAGGACGCGACGCGGCGCGCGCTCCGCGCCGAGGACGCGGCGCGCGACGCCGCGGCGACGAAAAGCGACCTCGACCGCGCGTCGCGGGAGCTCGCCGAGGCCGAGGTCGCGAAACGCGAGGCCGAGGCCGAGCGCGACGCCTTCGGCGCGGAGCGCGCCGAGCTCGCGGCGCGGCACCAGAAGGCGACCGCGGACGCCGCGGAGCTCCGCGCCCAACTCGCCGCGGCCGAGGCGGACGCGGCGGCCAAGGCCGAGCTCCTCGCCGAGGCCGGCGAGGGCCTGGACCTGCCGGCGACGCGCGCCGAGGTCGAGGGCCTCCGCCACGCGAACGCGGACCTCGAGCGGCGCCTCGCGGCGGCCGCGCCCGACGTCGCCGCGCGGCTCGAGGGCGAGCGCGACGACGCCGTGCGCCTCGGCGAGGCCTACGAGCGGTCGCTCCAGAAGGCCAAGGGCGAGATCGCCAAGCTCAAGGGCGGCCTCGACGCCGCCGCGGAGCGCGGCGAGGGCCTCGAGGCCGCGCTCGCGGACGCGCGCGACGCCGCGGCCGCGCTCGAGGCCGGCGCCGAGGCGTCGCGCG